CACGTGCACCTAGCTAGCAGTGAGGAGACCACGTGTGCTCAGCAGCGTGGATATCACGTGCGCCTTGCAGCTGGTGGCACTAAACAGCAAAACAAGATATGTGAGAAAAACAAGATGTTATCAGAGTGTGCTCAGCTGTTTCGGGCTGTTGAAAACAAGTCTCTTGTCAGGGTATATGGCCTGAGATGGCTGCATAGATGATAGCCACTTTTGGCTAGGAGTTGGCTCCCAACAAATTACATTAGTACTCAGCCTGGCTACAAGTGAGGTTCTGAACACATTACCAAATTTGATCATTTACCTGTGACTATTAACTTGCCTTGAAGACCTCCACAGAGGGAAGACCCTCACTCAAGTCTCAGAAAGTCAAGACCACCCAGTAATCTGCTCGAGACACCGTGTACCGGAGCAATAGCGAGGTTTATTAGGGCATGTGACAGCTAGCTGCCGGTCAATTCGTATGCCCACGCAGGAGCTGAATTGACCCCAACAGCCAGTTTGAGAGGGGTTTTTAAGGGGAAAAACCACAAACCAAGGAATGGGGAGGGGGATGAGGGGTTGTTAAGGTGGCATAACATAAAAATAGCAGAACATTCCAAAGGAACCCAACCTACGTGAGTCAGGGTCAGGTGAAAACTCTCTGTACTATAATCTTTCTCAAGAATGTGGTCCTGCCCTGTCACTGTGGCCTTGCCCTGTCACTGTGGTTCTCAGCTTGGTTCCCAGCTTGATTCTCAGCTTGATTCTCAGCTGGCTAACTTGCATTCTAGCCAGTTCCCGTAACTAGCCTGTCCACATTCTTAACTTGTTTCATGGCTCTGTTTCTCAGAAAATTTTCTATGTCCTTATAAAGAAAGCCTAAAGAATATTTTATATGTCTAAAAAGGATTCTATATACCCAGCATCTATAATTTTTCACTCTACAGCCTGTCTTAACCATGGGTTAACAGCTTGCATTTATTTATTTATTTATTTATTTATTTATTTATTTATTTTGGCTTTTCAAGATAGGGTTTCTCTTTATAGCCCTGGCTGTCCTGGAACTCACTCTGTAGACAGGCTGGCCTCGAATTCAGAAATCCACCTGCCTCTGCCTCCCAAGTGCTGCGATTAAAGGCATGCGCCACCACTGCCCGGCTAGCAGCTTTTATAAGATTAGGTTTTTACAGCTTTATCTCTGTAAAGTTTGAGTTTTAAAAAATAACCATTTCTGAATGAACTGAAGCTCTTTAGTATCAAAATAAAACTTTACTTCAAAACACAGTCCACACAGAGACTGGAAACTTTCCTGAGCCGTTTACAGTGCACCACTATAGAATTTTAGTTTCTTATATTATTCAGATTATCAAAATAGCTAAAGCTTAACAAAGTTAGCAAAGACGAGGGCGGGAAGACATACATTCTTAAGTCAGTCTCTTTCAGCCTGAATTGACCTCAGGTAAGGAGAGATACTCATCAAGTTCTTTGTCAGACTGCTCAGGTCAGTGTCTTGCTGTATCATAAGATAGGAATATTTAGTTTTTTGTTGTTTAGTGTTTGGTTCTCATAGCTGTGCCCCTAACTTTTTAGCTTTTTATTTATTTTTAAGGTCAGATATTAATAATATAAAACATTCTATAAACTTAAAACATCCTATGGGATGTTACATTATACATTTAAATATTTTAAAAGCTGTCCTTTTAAAAATATCCAGTTTTTTTAACCTAAAGTTTTCTGTAAAACTCCTAAACTTTCTCTTAAAGAAGTTAAAATCTCTTAATTGTGTCCTCCTGTAATAGTAAAAAATAAAGTACCTTTTTTTTTTTTTTTTTTTTTAAGAGGAAAAGAGCCAGGC